GTTATTTCCCACACTGCGTCTGAGTGACTAATTCGAGGCTAAAGCCTCTGAGTAAGCCTCATGGTCACGCCTTTGCTACATGGACCACGTCCCTGGTAGAACCTACTGTCAGCCAACTAGTTCCAGTCTCCGCCGCGTCTATCCTGTTTCTATTCCTAATATCAAGTCTATGACTTCTCCTGCCATAGTCTCTTGTGTGCCAACCCACAAACATTGTGGTTCAACATTGAACCTAATCAAAGCAATCAGTAACACAACATTTGTGGGTTGACTCTGGGGTACCAGTTACTAAGGCAAATCCTTGTCCGTTTGTCCAACTTCTCGTCCCAGAACTCCATGTCAGTTAGTCGTGGGCTTCTGATAATCAAACTCCTCAGTATTCCTATCTTCACTTTGTAGTTATGATGAGACTGAAAATTTAGGATTATTTCCGCATAATAATTCTTTCTGTATAGTCTCCTCCTGATTGTCCCTTTGGAGTGCATGACTTCAATATGCAGAACGGGTTGTCGTTCATCATCCTCCACCTCTATTGTGAATTTAATTCTTTCATTAAGTTCGTTAATTAAAGTAATGAATTCATTTAGATTTTCCTTCATTACCTACTGAAAAATGTAACCCCTTCTTTAGGAGATCCGTAGTTTTAGAATCAAGAGGGATTGAAGGTAGGTTTACAACCTTTGTCCTATCCTCGACTGTTACAGTTGATGCCTTTAATAGAGAACCATCACGATTTGCCCTGGTTGGCTTGCTCTTTCGTTGTCTTATTATCCCATAGCTAAGCAATTTCTTGTCAATCTGCTTATTTATCACATCCCGGACTCTCTGTGGCTTCTGGTCCGCCATGCTCTAGATTTTTTGAAATTCATCCAAAGTGAGAACCCTGCCTAGCTTTTTCCTTAATCTAGACTTGTTTTCTATGAACTTAAATAGCTTACGCCTCTCAGTCTCGTAAAGTTCTAATAATTTCTGGATGGTGGTGTGATAAAGCATTTCATCAACTGTATCCAAATCACACTTTCTCATTAGATTACAGAATCGGGAGGCGATACCATAATGTTTGCAAAAAAAATAGCAGGATTGATTTTAAATTGTCTTCTTTGTCCGTCTGCAATCAATGCATGGTTTAGCAATCTTACCTCCATACTTTAATCGAAGGTATTAAGAAAAAGATGCTGTGGACTTTTGTTTGATCGCAATCTCCTTCCGTTTCATAAAAGTTGTTTGACCTTGTCTTCACAATTTACTCATATTCATAGGAAGACTTAGAGAAACGCATCTAGTCCGTAGTCCATAGTATGAAAAATAATTTCCAGAATCTGGCCGTGGATGTGATACATTCCCAGACGTCTCGCCGGCATCGTAGTCGGCATCATCAGTAAGCATTACCAGTCAGCCTCACACTAAAACTCGTCAAAGAGAAATATGAAGCCGATCCTTTCACCAATTGTCTGCTAGACAATCATGGTATCTCTCCTTTCCCTCTGGGCTAATCACCAATCCTATATACTCGTATTAAGCCTTCACAATCACAATTTTTTCTTGTTTTTTTATAATGTGGTATGGTTTTCCTTTTTGAGCGGCTTTCAGGAGAACTCTCCACACTCCTTAACATTTGTAATGATAATTTTGATCATACTGCCATATTTTTACGCAGCCCTCCTTCCATAGGTCTTATCAGAGTCTCCCTCTTGCTCCGTAGGACCTGTCTGCTATCGCCCTGGTTCAAGTATTTCACTCGACTCCTGCCACCACATCTGTGTTACTCGAGGCGTTATTTCCCACACGATTCGTCTGAGAGACTAACTCGAGATTAAAGCCCCTGCGTAATTTTCATGGTCAAGCCTTTGTTTCATGGGCCACGTCTACGGTTAAACAGGCCTACTGTCAGCCCACCAGCCCTAGTCTCCGTCGTGTCTATCATATTTCTACCCCTAATACCCAGTCTATCACTTCGTATGCTCTAGTCTCTTGTAGCAATATGGAAGTCTCTGATTCACATTCCCAGCACAAGAGTGGAGGAGTGTGTGGGAGGGCAAGTGAGAAAGCCAGCTTGGAGTTTAGAGAGTTCTCCTGAAAGCCGCTTAAAAGGGAACACCATACCATATTTAAATAAGTTCCTTAAAATAGTGATAGTAAACGCGTGATACGAGCATAAAGGATTGGTCATTAGCCCAGGGCAGAAGGAGAGATACCACGATTGTTTAGCAGACAACTGGTCCAAGAATCGGCTTCATTGTCTCTTTGAAGTGTTGTAGTCTGATGCTAAGACTCGCAATGCTTACTGACGATGCCGACTACGATGCCGGAGAAGCGTCTGCGAATGTACCACTTCCACGCTCCGACTCTGGAAATTATCCGGACGAGGTACGTTCCTCTCAGTTTTCCTAACAAAATGACCAAGTTGCGAAACCAAGGTCAAACAATTTATACTGCGAATGGAGACTGCGATCACACAAAAGGTCACACCATCTTGCTCTTTATACCTTTGATATTGATAGTTGGATTTTCCCACATTCATATGAGCAGCCCTCACAATGCCATTGAACTTCACTATGCTTTGCCTCTCTAAAGGCATTCTTATCTAGGCTAGGCTACAGTCTCGACCTCGCCTAGGTCTAATTGGCACCTCAGAGGGAATCGAACCTGAGTACTGTAGCGCACCACTTCAACATGCCAGTACTGAGCCACACTGCCACGGGTACCAGTTTGCCGCAGAGTAGGCGTCAATTTCAAGGCTAATCTGGCCTAGGCGAGGTCAAAGCTGCAGTCCACTATGAATGATAATACGTTTTTGGAAGCAAGTCTAAGTTGAATTTAAGGGTATCGTGAGGCCTACTAATATAGTTATGGAAAAATTAAACAGTGTCCTATGCGACCAAAGGTAAATACAGTTTTTTTAAGTTCTACTGGTGGTTTTTAAAACTTAAACTAAATTAATTTGTTTCCAGATAATCTGATTTCTTATTATTCATCATTACACCTTTGCATCTCCAGCTTGTACATGCCATGCGCAAAAATTATAGGAGAATTATGCCACCTTTTCCGACGTTGGCCAGCAAATCAAAGTGAAACTAATTACGAGAGATAGCCACAATTCATGATTTGCACATAGTTACGACTTAGCATAGCCTGCTTTCGCCAGCCAGTACAAGGACTGAGGTACAAATAGCATGCAAGTGACCATTAAATCTCCTGCCTTAGCCCATGAAGGATGCTGCTGCGAGGGAATTTATTCTTATTTTTCCAATTTCACCGCATATTCTTACTATTTATGCTCCTTTCTAAAAAATTGAGAAATTTCCAGATCTGGCTTTACTTTGAGACAAATAACGCATTTTATAACCACTAAATCGGCCATTAAATGATCTTTTATTAAAAGAAGCGTTTGGGCATACAAAGGTAGTCACCGTATTTCTAGTAGACGTTTCCCTTTCTACCTCTAACTGCACGTATTCCAAGAAGTTTCATTGTGCCTTATAATAACCGTTTTAATTTCAGATGATTCAATCAGACGATCAGTTTGAGACTAAGATAACTAACGGTGTCGTAAGAAGGGCTGGTTGTGACAACAGGAGATGAGCCAAAAATGGTCGGCAAGCAGCCACACAAAAGCAACCAATATGAGATGCATTCACCCTATTTCGTTTATGGTGTTGAAGGACTGGTAGTTGGATTTTTTTACAATCATATGAGCGGATTTGACGTTTCCATTGAATTTCACATAGCTTTGCTTTCCCAAAAGGTGTTCTCAACCAGGCTGGAATGCAGTTTCGGCCTCGTCTAGTTCTTATCAATACTTTCAGAAAAGTTAGATACACAACAGGGCAGTGTGTAATTTCGGCATGTCGACCACTACGCCACATTGACACGAGTGCGAATTGGTCACAGGGCAGATGAGAATTTTAGGGGAGGCCAGGCATTTTCCCATATAACATTCTTCGGTGGGATTATTGATGAAGCCAAGTTATATTTGCTATGAAACTCGACTACACTACTTATTTTTCGTCTATA